GTTCTCATCCACCTCGACGGGCAGCGCCAACAGGCTGCAGCCCGTGCGGCTCAACCGCCTGCGGTGGATGCACATCGGGATGTCTACAGCCTGTAGTGTACTGTGGGAATGTCGGCAGACTGAGTCAGTGGCAAGGCGCCACCTCCGCTCTGCCAGTCACACTACCATGCATGACCCGATTTAGCAAGCAGGTTTGCATCCAGCTGCAGCCTTCGATTTTCGCAGTTCTACAGCACAGACGGCAGTGGGGAAGAAAGCTGGGATGGCACAGCCGGCATTGGATCGTCACGGAGCGCCGGCGCCCTGGCACACCGAGGCAGCCCAGATCTCGACTGCAAGGGTGCGTCACTGACATGAGTTCATGATTCACTATTTTCCCCGCGGGTCGTGAGCAGGGAGCCTGCCGTTTGTGATGACGGAGGTCTCCGGACCAGCGGCGTGGCAGAAGCTGATGTGGCAGCCGGACATGACATAGCCTCCGGGCCCTCGGCATGCAATTTCCAACACCATCCCTTCGTGCATCCCGCACAAATTGACATCAACACCTTCCTCAACCGGGCAGCCCTGAGTGTAGGCTGCTCCCTTCGATCGATCGTGAAAGTTCGACGACCCTCCCTCCAAGCACCGCCCTTGCCACCCCTCCCGCCGTGCCTCGGCCGCATTGCTCAGGTGGGCTGCCGCGCGGGAACGCCTCCCACGGGCGGGGGCAGGTTCGTGTGGCAGGCAGCTCGCCGCGGCATAACCAGCCGCCGCGCCAGCTGCCGCGCCAGATACCCGCCGCCGGCCTGCCGCCCCACCGCCAAGCAGCCGCACTCCCTTCATGTCAGACTGCCTTTCCTTCACCTGACCATGCATGGATCCATGCTCTTCTTCTTGGCTTCTCTCATGGTGGCTCCTCCTCACCCGCTCCACCTTGCGCGCCGCCCCCCTGCCGCAGGCAGTTGCCAGTGGCCTCCTGCAGGCATCCAGTCGAGAGAGAGGCGCCGCATCCCCACGCTTGCTCCCACACAGGCGGAGCCAGAGGCAGGCTCTCAAAGGTATGGCGGATGCACTCAGCAGCAGCCGCACGCCTCCCGGGCGCCACGCCGCCGACGCACCTGAAGCAGGCGGTACGTACGTGCCACAGTGACTGCCAGTGCCTCCTGCCTCCCAAACCACCTGAGTTGTTTGGTGCCAGGCGGTTTCTGCAGGCACGCCTACCCGTGTGCCGGCTCGCCTCCCCGCCCCACCCTGCCAACACCGCCCGCTGCCGCGCTTGCTCTGCCGCAGGCTGCTGCCGGGAGGCCACGCTGAGCCGCTCAGCGGCCAGGGGCGGCCCCTGGGCCGCGCTGCTGGCGGCGGCGGAGAGGGAGGAGCGCGCAGCAAACGGCGGCGTCCAGGGCGCCGGCCGCTGGCCGGTAGCCGAAGCGACGGCTGGCCGCGTCCCGCTGGGCCCGGCGGGCGGCTGGCAGGCCACGGCTGGCCTGTGCGCAAGCGGTGGCGGCATGGGAGAGGGGTGGGGCGGCCGGGACACGGCCCCTGATGACGGCGCCTCCCTCCCTCTCCGGCTCATGCCGACAGCGCCGCCGGCCCCACTCCGCACCAGCATGACGCGGCCCGGCCCCCTGGAGCCCAGCCAGCCCGGTACCGCACACCGGGAGAGCGCCGCGCCAGGGTCACCAGCCTTGGAGCGGGCGTGGGAGTGCAGCGCCCAGGCAGCCGCGGGGCCGACCACCGGCAGCGGCGGCGGCGCCTGGACCCTGGAAGCTCGCACCCCGACCGTGGGAGCGGAGCGGCAGCGCCGCCGCTCGGCAGCAGCCTGCGGCAGCCCCGGCCCGCCGCGCGCGGCTGCGGAGGAGCACGCCGCCGCCTGCCACGCGGCTGGCGGCAGCGGTGCAGCTGCGGCTGCTGCGGCGGCGCAGCGCCCGTGCTCCCGCGGCCAGCCCTGGCAGCTGCCGCCACTGGCACCCTGCGCCATCGTGCCGCCCGGCCTGGACACCTTGTGCGGCTTGCCGCCGTTGGCAGAAGAGGACTGGCGCAGGCTCAGGATGCGCGCGCCTTCCTGGCACGCTTCTGATGTGGCGGCAGGCAGGCCGCCATACTGGTACACACTGGTACTGGTACTGGTACTACTAGTACTAGCAGTGGCTGCCGCTCCCGTGGGCGGCCGTCCAGTCCACCGGATGGCATCCCCTCTGCTCCCCATATTTAGCTTGTGCAGCGCTCCAAGCCCGCCGCCAGCGCTGCCATGTAGATGCATCCAGCCGCTGCTGTTGTTGGAGACTAGACGAACGGATTAGATTTAGCCTGTACCGATTCCGCTCTTGCCCGCAGCTGCTTGCCCAGCGCCCTTTCATTCCGCCGCGGTGGCCGCTCCCCGTCCGACGATGTGCCAAGCGAGGGAGCCGCCGCCCCCACCTGCACCTACTAGACATGGTATGCCTGCATGCATGTTGCTGTAACCGACCAGTGGGAGGGGCAGTTCAATGAGTGGGAGGCACCCAGGAGACTCGTGCTGCACGCCGCATGCTTCGGGGGCCGGCAGCGCGCGGCTGGCGCTCGCCGCCGGCGCCGCAAGAGCTGCAAGCTGCCGGCTGCTCATGCCGACCGCAGGCTGGCGCAGGCATGGCATATGGCAGCGTTGCCCACTCCGGCCATCAGCATGGCAGTTGGCTGGAGACTGCAATGGCTGGCTGGGCCCATGCATGCGTGCCACCACCGCCAATACTGGCAGCTTCGCGGCGAGCGCAGGCGCCAGCTCAGAAGGCATGCATATGCTACCAGTGTTTCTGAAAGCTGGCGAAATCGGGCCAAAAAACGGCTCTGGCTGGCGATTGGCCGAAGGCCATCGCCAGCCAGAGCTGGCTAAATGAGGGCAGGCGGCGGGGCGACATCGCCAGCGCGTCGCCAGCCCCCATGACTGACATCGCCAATATTTTGAGGAGAAATGGCCAATTTTCCTCAGGAACTTCATTCCATAGTGTTAAACAAGCGCCAGCTTGCTGGGGGCTTCGCCCCCAGTCCCCCAAAAGGGAGGCAAGTGCCGACAAAGCAACAGCGGCGCCGCATGTGGCCGCTGCGCTGTGCCAGGCGCAAGGGTGGCTCCCCCGCATTTCGCCAATCCTCAATGTGCCATCGCCAGCTGATTGGCGAAATTTGGACGCATAATGCTACTCACCTCTTGCGCGATTATGATCCCTCGGCTGCGAGTCACCTTCCGTCTGTTGCATCACAGGCGGCTCTCGTCACAGCCATGTCCCGCCAGCAGCTGAGCGTGAGCGTGAGCCGCTGGCCGCCGGAGCCGCCCCCGCAGTTGGTGCAAAGCCCGGCCGGCGCCTGCATCGCCTCTCTATTCGATGGGGTGGCCGATGACGAGTTCATAGAGTGGCTGCTGGAGGATGGGGGAGGTGGTGTCACGTCGATGGGCGCTGCGGACGAGGCGGCATCCTTCTGCAGCGCCGCAGCGGGTGAGGGGCCAGCCTTTGCGTCATCACGGGATCGTGTGTGGCCGATTACGGGGCGCCCTGCCCCGAATGTGCCTCCGGTCCGGTGGTGTCGTTTCGCGTGGCGCCGCCGCTGCTGCGCCGCCGCCCAGCTGCGCCGCCGCCAAGCTCCGAGTGGTATGGCCAACAGGCAGGCTCCCACATCCCCTCTCTCCCATGTTTCCGTGGTTACCTGCCTGTGCAGCACCCCAGCGGCCGCACCCCGCAGCAGAACGCGGCAGCCCAGCACTCTGCTCTCTCGATCGGCCCGGCGGCGCGGCAAGCCCCCGCGCCGCCGCCCCCGCGGCGCGGCCCCAGCAGCCGCAGCCCGCGGGCCGCCTGTCGCCGCCCGCCGGCGCCGCCTCCAGTGGGCCAGCCCTGGGCCCTCACACGCCGCCAATGGCCGAGGACCTCGCAGCACAGAGCAGCGCCGACATTGCCGCCTGGCTGGGTGGCTGGGCCTGGCTGGGAGGCGGCGATGCTGAGCTGCCCATGCGGAGCGGCCCCCCGCCGCCGCGCACGATCAGGCAGCGCCAGCCGCCCCGCCAGCCAGGCGCCGCCGCCGCCGCCGCGGTCGCCGCCGCGCCGGGGCGGCCTCCGGCGGCGGCGCCGGCACCCGGGGCGCCCCGCCTGCCGGCGCCAGCCGGCAGCTCGGGCGCTGGCGCTGGTGCCCCACCCCTAGCACCGTGCCACGATGCGCAGCCGCTGGGGAGCAAGCGCAGGTGGGTGGGATGGCCTGGGTGGCGGCCCTGGGTGGCGGCCCTGGGTGGGTGCCCTGCCCTGCCTTGCCCTGCCGCTCGCCGCCCGTCCCACGCATGGTTGCACGGCAGCAAGGCCGGCACAGGTGCTGCCAGTGCCTAGTAGGGATGGGCTGGGTCAGCAGCACTGGGAACAGCGCTGCTCATGTGCAGCTTGCTCAGCCCTCGCCTCGCGCCCCAGCCCTCCCACGCCCGCCGCGGCACGGGCTGTGCCTCGCCGCGCCCGTGCCCGACCCGCCGCCTCCTCGCTGCCTCCGCCGGTGCAGCGCCAGCCGGCGCCAGCGGGGCGCAAGCCCCGCGAGGAGCGGCACCAAGCAGGCAGGCGGCACGAGGAGCAGCGGGGGCGAGGTGTGGCAGGAGGCGGTGGTGTGGCGCGCCTCGGCTGGCACCCAGCACGCCGCCGCCCACGCCTGGGCAGCGGCATCCCCGCCCCGCTCCGCCCGCGGCCGGAAGCGGGGCAGGGAGCCTACGGCGCCGTCGAGCGGCGTTGACGTGGCGTGGCGGCCGCAGGCCAGCGCCAGGCACGCTCTGCCGCATGCGCCTGCCCAGCCCTGCGTGCAGCCCAGCGGCCTGCCGCCGCCGCCTGCCCGCACACACGCCGGCAGCCGCCGGCAGGGCGTTTCCCGCTCCTTGCTGTGGCGCCGCTGCCGGCGGTGCGGGAGCGGCGGCTTCAGCATGTCGCCTGCATGCCCTTCGCCTTGCTTGCTGGCTGGGCCGCCGGCTGGCAGGCTGGCTGGCTGGCGGGCGGGCTGGGTGCACCTGCTGGGCCTGCTGGCTGGCTGATGGGGCGCACTCCCCCTCCCCCTGTTCTCTTGTCTGAGTGCAGGCACCGATGGGCAGCTACATCTCCGTCGGAGTGGCGTGCCCAAGGGTTGCATGCGGCCGCCCCCAGCCCGATCCTCTGCTCTGGCCCCAGCGCTAGCCAGCTGGGCGCCCCGCACAGTCAGCCGCACAGCGGCGTGGCTCCAGCCGTGCCAAGGCAGCCAGCGCCGGCGGCCTTCCCGGCCCGGCCGGACCTACCATCCCTCTCCCAGCCCTGGCGGTGGGAGGGCGGCGGCGGGAGGGGCGGCGCCGCGGCGGCGCCTCCGCTGGGCGGCGGTGCTGAGCTGGAGCCAGCTGGCGCAGCGGCTGCCCTGCTGGACGCTGAGCTGGCGGCAATCCTGCGCCTGCCCTGCTTCTAGCCCCCCGTTGGCCCGCTGCTGGGGCGCAGCCAGCCGGGCCGCCTCCCGCCCCTGCTGCCGCCGTCCCGGCTAATGGGCTGAGTGCCTGGGCGGCTGCCGCTGCCGGTGCCGCCACCGCTGGGCGGCGGGCTGGCGAGCCCTCCAGCGACTCTCTCGGAGAGGGCGCTGCTGCCGGCCCACCCTCTTGTTTCTTCTATTTTCATAAAACGATGCCGGCCATCTTGGAATGGCCGCTTTGTGCTCTCATGCCATCATAATTGTGAAACCATGCGGGCATGCTGCAGACGTGTATGTCGCTGTGCTGCGAAACCATACCCCATGCGCCGCGTTGTATGGCATGCTGCCCTCTGCCTTGCAAACTTCCCCAACAGGCTAGCCTGCCGTTGGATGCTCAACTCACCCCCCTCGTGTACCTTGTTCACATGTCATGCCTTTCTTCCCTTCACTGCTTTCTTCCCATACTCAAACCCGCCTTTCATTCACCCGCACCACAGAGTGCGCACTCTGCGCATGCGCCGCCCGCGCCCGCTCACATCTCCGGCCGACTCAGCAGCTCGCAGCTGCTCCAGGCGCAGCTCGACGCCGACTCGCTTCTGCTCCGCCCCAGGTGCTGCTTGTAAAGCGGGGGAGCGGAGGGGAGGGCAGGCAGTTGGTGGAGGCCCTGCAGGGCAGCAACTGCCAACTGCTCAGTGAGGTGGGTGGTGGGGGGACCCGGGAGGTGCACGTTGCTGCTGCCAGCTGGTGGTTGATGTGGCGGCACTGCCCTGGGGGCGTGGTGGGCTTGCATGGCACCGAATGATGGGTCCGGCGAGGGTGCCGTGTAAGCCGGTACAGGTGGCGTGGCCACAGAGCAGGAGCAGCTCTGCCAGGGAAGCGCCGAACCTCGGCCGGCAGCAGGCAATGCGCCGCGTGCATTGGCTGGGCGGGTGGCGGACCCCGGCTGGTGGGGCAGGGGCAGGGAGGGACATGGTGGTGTTTGGGTTTGGGGTGTGCAGCGAGGTGTCCAGCTGCTCAGTAAGCGGAAGCCTCGTGGTGGAAAGCATGCGCCCCCCGCCCGGCTTGGGCCCCCTTGTGGGTGCCAGGGCAGGCACAGCCTGCCCCCCAGGTCAGTCCATTGGCAATGCCGGCATGCAGGCTGGTGCGCCCAGTAGGGAGCCGCAGCGGTGGCTGGAAGGATGTCAAGGGAGGCTGTGCGCGCGCGGCGGAGGGGGGCGCAGCGCTGAAGGCGGAGGTCGGCGGGAAGTGGCGACAGGCGTTTTAAAGGCCTGTTTGCCCAGTGCGCAGTTTGCTGTGCTCGACACCGTACTCGTCGTTTGCAGGCCAAATGAGGCTCCGTTTCCCAAGCCAGAAACCTGGTGTGGACGGGGAGCGGTTACCTAATAAATCATACGGGTAGCCCCACAGGCCCTCCCAACCCTGAAATCCGCTCGTCCTTGGCCCGCTGCGGCGCTTTTCAGCGGCAGCTGGCCGCTCCCTCGCCACGCAGCCCCGCCAGGGCAGTCCCTCTCCGTGCCTGACGCCCCTGCTCGGACCTCCGTTGCCGCCTCGGGTTCCATTGCACGATGGAGGGCCCTGAAGGCGCGGGGCCCTCGCAGATGGAGGCCACCCAACTCCACCAGGCGCAGTCGGCAGGGCAGGCCGCTGCGGCGGAGCAGCTCGCCAGCTTGGGAGCCGCCCCGGCCCCTGCTCCGGCTCCCCGCAGCAAGTCAGGGCCCCAGCTGTGCTGCCAAGTGTGCGGCACCGACCTGCGCAGCAGCAGAATGTTCAACATGGTGGGTTCTGGGCCTGGCGGGGAGCTGCCGGAGCCGGGTTGCACACGGTCTGTGGCTGGGCAGGCCCGCGAGCGACGCCGCGCCCGTGCAGTGGCGCGCGCGGCGCCGCCGCCGCCGCCGCTGGCACTCGCCGGCGGCGGGCGCGGCCCTCCCTGCCCTGCACCGGACCCAGCCAGCTGGCCCTCCGCGGCAGGCGTGCCACGCAGCACCGGGCTGCCGGCGGCACAGGCCGGGCCTGCGCCACAGCATCCGCCAGCGGCAGCCGCGGGCAGCACCCACAACCGCGCCGCCGCCGGGCCGCCCCTCAGCCGCGCGCCCACCCAGGCACCGCCGCTGCAGGCCGCCTGCCATTCTTTTGCGCCTGTGCCTGACGCCCGTGCTCCCTGCCGTGCCACCCCGCCCGCCCGCACCCCCGCCTGCAGCGCTTCCGCGTTTGCCCTGACCACGCCGCCGCCGAGTCGGTGGTTGTGGACGGCATCCAGCAGCGCTTCTGCCAGCAGGTGGGTGGCCCGGCGGCGGCGCGGTACAGGCGTACAGCAGCACAGCGCTGCTTGTGGCTGGCACAGCGGGTGGCTGGCCAAGCATAGACATTGCGCCGCCAGCCGCCCTCGGGCCACACACCCCCGCAGCCCTCGCCTGCCGCCGTGCGCCCCGCCCCGCGACCCTCTTCCGCTCCTCCCCTCCCTCCCTGCCCATCCTGTGCCGCCGCTTCCGCCGCGCATGCCGTCACCTCCCTCACCGCGCCCGCCCCTGCCTCCCCTCCCCTCCCTCCTTTCCTCCTTTCCTCCCCCGCAGTGCGGCCGCTTCCACCGGGTGGAGCTGTTTGATGCATCCATGCGCTCCTGTCGCGAGCAGCTGGCCAAGCACGCGGAGCGGCGGCGCCTGCGCCGCCGCAAGCAGTGGGCGGCGCAGCAGGCGGCGGCGGCCGCCGCCGCCGTGGCCGCCGCCGTCGCCTCGGGCGACGTCGCCCTGCCTGACCCCGATCCAAGCCACGGTGAGGGGCCTGGTCAAGGGTTTAGGGTTGGCGTTGGGGTGGGGAGGGGGAAGGCTGTGTGTGTGGTGGGGAGGGGGAGAGGGTGTTCCGCCTGTTGGCGCGATCGCGGTTATGTGTGCGTGTGCGCGCGTGCTCATGCGTGCTTGCGTGTGGTGTGTGCGTGTGCGCGCGGCATGGCATTTCATCTGCCGACGCCGGCGGCGGTTGTGTGTGCTTCCTTGCTGCCTGCCTCTACCGCTGCTGCCGTCGCGAGGCGCGGCACGACAGGCCGTCTGCCGCGCCCCGCGCCCCGCCCTTGCCGCCCGCCTGGCGCCGCTCCACGCGAAGACCGCGCCGCCTCCTCCCCCCCCCTCCTCTGCAGCAGCCTCGCTGGCCTCTGGGCAGCCCTTCTCGGCGGCTGCGGCGGCTGCGGCGGCGGGATCTCTCACTCCCAGCTGGCTCACGGCAGGGGGGCTGGGGCCGGCGGGAGGCTCCCTGCCGCTGCCCACCGCCGGCGGCTCGCTCCCGCTGGCCTTCTCTAGTGGCGGCGCCACCGCCCCTCTGCTCGGCAGCAGCGGGGCGGGGTTTGGAGGAGGAGAGGGCGGCGGCGGCTACAAGCGTCGGCGCGGCGGCGGCGAGCGCGGCCCCGTGCAGCTGCGCCCGGCGGCAAGCGCGGGGGCGGGCGCCGTGGCGCACCCGCGCTGGCAGCAGCCGCCGCCGCGCATGCTAGCGCAGCTGGGTGGAGAGTCGTGGCAGGCCCAGGTGGCGCACCTGCTGGAGCAGCAGCACTCCAACACCGCGCTCCCCGCCTGGCCGCCGCTGCCGGCGGGGCTGCAGCAGACTCTGGCGGCGGCGGGGGTGGGCCCCTCCGCGCACCCTTCACAGCAGCACCAGCAGCACCAGCTGCACCAGCACCAGCAGGGGCCGGCCGGGGAGCTGCCGCACGGCACCTCCACCTCAGCGCTGCCGCCCTGGCAGCCGCCGCCGCAGCAGCTGGCGTTGGGGCCCGGCGGCGGCGGCGCGGCGGCGCCGGGGCACGGCGGCCTGACCGCGCTGGAGGCTCTGGAGCTGCAGCAGTCTTCGTCGGCCTTCCCCCCCTGGCAGGCGGCGGCGGCGGCGGGGGGGCATCAAAACGCGGGGCCGGGCGCGGCGGCGGCGTGGCGCGCGCAGGTGGACGCTTGCTTGCAGCAGCTGATGCAGCTTGTGGAGCTGATGCCTCGGGCGCTGGTGGAGGCGCACCTGCCCGCGCTGCTGCCGGTGGTGATGCAGCTTGTGGGTGTGCTGGCGCCGCCAGGTCAGCAGGCGCCAGGTCAGCAGGCGCCGCCACTGCTGGTGCTGTCGGTGCCCAAGCCGGAACTCGAGGCGGGCGGGTGGCAGGCGCAGCAGGCGCAGCAGGCCGCCCAGCAGGCACAGCAGGCGCAGCAGGCCGCCCAGCAGGCACAGCAGGCGCAGCAGGCGGCACAGCAGGCGCAGCAGGCCGCCCAGCAGGCACAGCAGGCGCAGCAGGCCGCCCAGCAGGAAGCTCAGCAGCAGCAGCAGCAGCAGCAGCAGGCGCAGCAGCAGCCCCATTTTTCGGTGCCTGGAAGCTACGGCGCGGAGCCCGCCCCCTCCTGGGCCGGCACCGAGGGGGAGCAGGCGCAGCAGGCGCAGCAGCAGGCGCAGCAGCAGGCGCCGCGCACCGGCGGCGACAGCGGCAGCGGCGCCGCCGCCGCCTCCCAGCGCTCTTCTGGATCGCAGCACGGCCAGCTGCCGCCGTCCTGGCCGTCGGCGCCCCCCCTGCCAGCGGCGGCGGCTGTGGAGCCGCCCGGCGGTGGCGGCGGCGGCGCCGCAGTGCTGCTGGCCGCGGTGGCGGCGCGGGCGGCGAGCAGCGGCGGCGCGCCGCCGCCCGCTGCCCCCCAGCAGCCCCAGCCCCAGCAGCAGCAGCAGCAGCAGCCGCCTCAGCTGCAGCAGCAGCACCAGGGGCCGTCCGGCTCGCTGGGCCAGCTGCAGGCGGCGGCGGGCGCCAGGTCAGAGGAAGGTGGGCTGCTGGGGCGTCGCGAGAACGGCGCCTTCTCGCCTCCGGCGCCGGCGGGCAGCCTGGGCGCGCCGCCACCACGCCCCGCAGCCAGCGCGCCGCCCCCGGCCGCACCGGCGCTGCAGCCCGGCAGCCAGCCCGCGGCGTCGGCGCCTGGGGCCTGGCCCGGCGCTGGCGGCGGCAGCGGCGGCGCGCCGCCCGGCGGCCTGGGAGGCCCCGGGGACGCGTCTCTGCTGCCGCAGCAGCTGCTTGCCGCGCTGGGGGGCGGCCAGCTGCCGGCCTCGCTCCTGCAGCTGCCCTCCCTCCCTGCGGCGCAGCAGGGCCAGCTGGATGTGCCCCGCCTGCTGGCAGACTGCCTGTCGCTGCTCAACAGCCAGCCCGCGGCGGCGCCGCCGCCCGGCGACGCGCAGGCCGCGCTGCAGCAGCTGCTGGCGGGGCAGGGGGGGCTGTGGGGCGCGCAGCAGGCGCAGCAGCAGGCGCAGCAGCACGCCCAGCAGCAGGCGCAGCAGCAGGCGCAGCAGCACGCCCAGCAGCAGGCACAGCAGCAGGCGCAGCAGCACGCGCAGCAGCACGCCCAGCAGGCGGCGCAGCAAGCGCAGCAGCAGGCGCAGCAGCAGGCGCAGCAGCACGCCCAGCAGCAGGCGAGCGCCCAGGTGCTGCTCTCCTCGCTGCTCCAACAGCCTCTGGCGCCGCAGCAGGCGCAGGCGCAGCAGGCACCGCAGCACGCACAGCACTCCCACCAGCAGCAGCAGGCCCAGCAGGCGCAGCAGCAGCAGCAGCAGTGGGGCATGGACACCCTTCAGCACCTGCTGGCCTCGGTGCCGCTGCTGCAGCAGCCGCCGCCGCTGCCCGGCCAGCCTCAGGCACCGCGCTGAGCGGCGGCGGGCGCGCCCTGGGACCCCTCCACCCCACCCCGCCACCCTAGTATCACGCCCAGCCTGCAGCCCCTTCCTTGCAGCCGATCCGATCCGACCCCTCCTCTGCCTCACTCCCACCCCCCCTCTTGCCCCGTCTGTTTTTTGTGTGTGCGGGCGCTGGCTGCGCCCCCGCAGCCAGGCGCCTGAGCCGGCAGCAGTACCCTCCCTTTCACCACTCAATAACCGAGGTACCGTACCCTCCCTTTCCTCACTAACCCCCAGCCCCGATAACACCGCGCCGCGGCCGCCGAGCCCGCACGAACGACCGGCCAGCCTCCCGGCCCCCCTTTTTTCGTGTTTGTTTGGATTTCCCGCTCGGCTGCTTCTGTTGGAAACCCCGTGCATC